ACAACAAACAATCAACCCCATTTACCCATCCCCATTATCTTCCTTACTCTCAAGGGTCTACCCTAAGAGTCATCTATTCGTTTATTCCGAAGTCCCTTGCTTCCAGGGTTATAAGGCCGGCACTAAGTCCATAGCTGCCGATGCACTAATTCCATAGCTGCAAAAGTTCCTTCATCGGGTACTAAATCCATAGCTACCGGTGTAGGTACTAAGTCCATAGCTACCAACGTTTATCTAACAGGTACTAAGTCCATAGCTACCAGATACTAAATCCATAGCTACCAACACATAACAAGTACTAAGTCCATAGCTACCTATGTTTACCTAATAGGTACTAAGTCCATAGCTACCATCGTTTGTCCAATAGGCACTAAGTCCATTGCTGCCGATGTTTATTTATTGGGCACTAAGTTTATAGCTACCAATGTTTACTCACATCATCTTTTATCTCTCATCATTCATCTACCCATGTTATACCCAACATATTTGTAGATATAAAATACGTATATAGTTTAAATCAGTTAAAACATGTATAAAAACGTTCATCCAGCATAGATAGCAAGTATACAGATAATATGCACACATAGCACGTAATTTATATTAAATACTTCATATCTATGTGTAAGATGAAAGGGCCTATGCACTCACCTGAAAGGTGGTGACTCGGAACTCGGACAACGCTTCGTTATCTCAAAACAATTTTCCCTTGACAAAACCTAGTATCAATACCACTAGGGTTTAGTCTAACGTTAACCGAAACTAATTAATGGTCTAGCTATTATTATTATTATATAAGCGTTAAACAACACTATATAACTCATAATAATAGCCCAAATAATTATTATAAGGTCCTAATAACATTACTATATTAAAACATAAGCTATACTAAAGATAGGTTAGGCGTAGCGCACTTACATCAAGTTTTTCTCAAAACTGGGCTTCGCTGGAGCAGCGTTTCTGAGCCGAAAGGCTCTTTTCTCGGGACTCCGGGAGCTTCGGGGCTTCCTTCGGGTGCTAGGGGGTTTACCTAGACTTTAGGGGGGGGGGGGGTTAGGGGCTAGAGAGAGAGTCTAGAGAGAGAAAGAATGGTTTGGAAAGGTGTGAAGAATGAGGGAACCCGACACCTCTATTTATAGGCTGGAAAACAGCTCTACTCGTCGAGTAGGTCCTCCTACTCATCGAGTCCATGCCACATGTCACCTTCTGGTGGTTTGCCTTGGGGAGAAAGCCTTGGCCCATAATCAGCCACGTCACCCCTTTCGCAGCAGCACCCTGCCGACTTCTAAACCCCGTAACTTTCGCATACGAGCTCCGTTTTCGACGTTCTTTTTTTCCACGCTTAGGTAAAAACAAGATCTACAACTTTCATTTAGACTCCATTGGCTAATTCTCGACCGATCTTAAATTTAACAGTAGGATGAGATTAGACTGTTAAATGACCACACAGAATTCGTAACTCCTTCATACGGACTCCGTTTTCGTCTGTCTTTTTACCGTTGAGTTCCTATTAATGAGATCTTCAACTCTCATTTAGGTTGCGTAAGCCAAAAACTGCTCGAACTAAAATACGAGTTTCGGGCCGTGCACTGCTATGCCAAATCTTAGAAAATTCATAACTTCCTCATACGAAGTCAGATTTGGGCGTTCTTTTTATGGATGTTCTCGGTTTAACATATACTACAACTTTTGTTTAGATCACTAAGGCTAAAAAGTCATCTATTGTAAATTCACTATTTACGTCTCCCGGTGTCGTGCCGGTTTTGCCGAAAATCTTCGACGAGCCATAACTTCTTCGTTATAACTCGGATTTCGGCGTTCTTTATATGTACGGAACCCTTGTAACATATATTATCACTTGGCTAAGATTATTACTTCTTAATAATATCCCATCAAAAACTCATTTTTGATGCTCATTGTCTCTAAATTGACTAGCCCAGATCTACGGGCGTTACACAGCTAAACACATTCAGTCCTTTTTCATCAATTCTAACACTTTAAAATGTAGATCTGATACCCAAGAGCCGGAAAACCACATAAAGTTGCTAACTTTACGTCTATGCATGTCACCAAGAGGCTCCAAAACTCAAGGAATGCTTAATAAGGGACCTAAAGCATGAAGGAGGCCTAAAACTTGATAAAGCTTGAAACTTTAAGTCCAATGAGGCCACAAAATGTCCAGATCTGAAGTGATAACTTCATGAAATACTCAACCCATAAACAATCCTAAAAATAAGCCAAATATGATAATAAACTTCCAAGGAAAAGATCTAAGCAATAGATAAGCAAGGTGTCGACTTTATACCTCAAAATGACTGCAACAAAAGAGTAGGTTCTGGGTCTATAGCCTTCCTTTCAATCAAGCCACCTCAAACTTCAAGCTCCTTCAAAAGAACACCAAGAAATCACTCTTTAAACTCTCACACACACAAATATGGGAGATGATGCGCGAACTAGGGTTTTATGGACAAAGGAGACTGATAAGGAGGCCACCCAAAGGGTATAAGGCCTTTAAATAGGGTGCAACACCTTAAAAATTAGGGTTTCTTAATCAGCCACCAACTCCTTGAGTTTTCCTCACCAAGTCGTCGAGTTGGTCCAAAAATATGCGCGGCCCAAAAGCCTTCAACATGTCGAGTTGAGGCCATCAACTCGACGAGTTCCAAGGGGAATTTGCATGTTAAGGAATAAATCTCATACCTGGAAGTCGGGATGTTACAATCTATTTCACTATTTCTTCATTATTTAGATTCACGATAGCAAACATCCACCCCACCTCTAAAGATTTCATACAACATATTGCATCCTATTTTCCAGAGGAGATCAAGAAACATAATGAAAGAAAGTCATTCTTTAATGTTGAAAAGGCTTGTTGATATGTTGATGAAGAAACTAGTGCCAAATAGTTGGAAGACATGCGGGGGTCTACTAAGACTAAAGTAAGGAATTGTGCAATGGTCTACCTTGCTCAAACAAATGAGAGTAATATACAATCAAAGAGCTCAATTGATAAAGGTGATGCAAGCATAGAGAGGCAAAAACATGATTACTAGTTTTTTTGTGGCAACTCATAAGGATTTCCGAAGTTGGTATTAAAGATGGACAAGTGAGAAGAACTTTGATGTTTTAGTTTGATATGTTTATTTTTTAAAAAAAGTAATTTAATGATTTTTCATGGATGAATATGGTTTATTTTTTTATTATTTTTTTGTCATTATATTGTATGCACTTTTTTCAAGTAATTTGATGTTTTGTCATGGAGGAACGATCTATTTGATAAATAGATGCTATTTAGAGTCCGTTAGAATGGTCAAAATGATATATATATATATATATATATATATATATATATATATATATATATATATATATATATATATATATATATATATATATGGAAAAGTTCAATAGAGAACCATACTTATTGGTTCTTCAAAGAACCAAATCTTTTTTTTCAATTTCTAGAGCTTATTCTTTATCGAAAAAAAATCTAAAAATATCTAAATTCATATATTAACATTGTGAATGTGAAAAATATTTTTCGGATTCACATTATGAATTTTCAAAGATTCACATTGTGAATTTGACGTAAAAAAAAATCGAATTTGATATCATTGGAAAAAGGATAAAAAGTTATGAATTTCTGTATTTTTAGTTTTTTTTTTGATAAAAAATAAGTTCTAAAAGTTGAAAAAAAGATTGGTTCCTTGGTTAATTATGGTTCTCTATTGAACCTCACCCTATATATATATATATATATATATATATATATATATATATATATATATATATATATATATATATATATATATATATATATATATATAGTAAACTGGTTTTAAAATAAAAATTAAATTGGTTTATTGATAAACAAGTGTTTTTATTTTGTATATCAATGTGGAAAATTTTGAGATTGTAATAGAAAAATTTGTACAAAAGTTGACCTAATTTTTATTAAATATAAATAGTTTCTAGGGAAAACTGCACATTTGGTCCCTGTAGTTTTTTGATTTATGAGGTTCCTGTCCATTGTCTGAAAAGACCATCTTACCCTCAATGAGGGACATGTGGGTAGGGGTGTTAAAAAATATCCGTATCCGAAAATCCGATCCGAAAAATCCGAAATCCGATCCGAATTTATCCGAAGTTTCGGATATCCGGATTTTCGGATATCCGAAAATTTAGATATCCGCTTTTTCGGATTCGGATACGGATATTAGTTTTATAAAATTTCGGATATCCGATTTTAGTATCCGAATCCGTATCCGAAGTTTCGGATATCCGAAATTTCGGATACGGAATCGGATACCAAATATACACTATCCGAATTTTCGGATATCCGGTTTTGAACACCCCTACATGTGGGGTCAGTTAACGGATAGGAGATAAACATGAGTTATCTCTTAGGGCCAAAACCACAATGATGTCCGCAGAAAATGACCAAATCTGTAATTTTGGGACCATATGGATCAAAACCACTGAAAAAAAAGGCAAACGACAGAGACCAAATTTGCAGTTTTCTCTAAACGATGTTATGTTGGGTTGTGGAGTCTAATTTTTTTACCGAGACTTCCCCCTTGGCAGAGTATAGTAGTATCTGAAGGCCATTATGCTATAGTTCGGGGGTCAAAATGCAAAATTGGGGTTACCTTTATTAACGATGGAGCTGCTTCAGCGTTTAGGTCAACTCCTGCCAATTCTTGTTGGCAATCCTTGACTCAGCAAAAGCTTTGTTAATTTTTTATTGCTGTGGTCATCATAGGGCGTTGGTTCTGCAATGCTAAACATGACGTCCCAACCAAAGATGATTAATTCACTGGCCACTCAATCCTTGTGCTTTCATATTTCCGTTCTTTGACTTGGTATGTTGTTGAAAAGCTTTGTGTGTTCGTTGAATTTCCATCTCTATATTCTTTATTGATTTTGTTTGTGAGAGACTCGGTCTCAAATATTTCATGCATAAGACGAGACTAATTATACTGAAGGAATCAAAGACACAGACAATGTCAATTTATTGGGTGGTCACACTCAACTCCAGCTTCAACTACCACCTATTATCTACCGCTGTACATTTAACGATCTTTTTCTTGCATTACAAACTTCAATCGATATAGGATGTACTTTTCCACTTGTCTTATAATTCTCCTTACTGTATTGGGTATTGTTTTTTATTATTTACGAAAACGACAGGAGGAAGATGATGGAGAGCAGAAGAATTCAATTCTATCTTCATCATTGGATCAGCAATCTCCACACGAAGAAGAACATGATCAGAGGAACGATTCATCATCCTCCTCCTCATCATCATCATCACTGGTCAAACCATGTCGACTTTTTTCACTTGCTGAAATCAAATCGGCAACCCATGATTTTGATGATGCATTTGTAATTGGAAAGGGCGGGTTTGGGAAGGTATACAAAGGTACAATTGATTTTGGGAAAAGAATTGATGTTGCAATTAAGAGGTTTAATCTTGATTCCAATCAAGGGGCAACTGAGTTCCGGTCAGAGATTGAGATGCTTTCCAAATTTCGCCATGGTCATATTGTCTCTCTACTAGGATACCATGAAGGATCCGATAAAAGAGAGATGATTCTTGTTTATGAATACATGCCGAATGGAAGTCTTGAGGATCATTTGCACAAAAGAAAAGCTAATGGAAGTAATTGTTCTCTGCTGACATGGGCCCAGAGGCTCCATATTTGCATAGGTGCTGCTCGTGGTCTGGACTACCTCCATACAGGTACAAGTGTGCAATCTACAGTCATACACCGTGACATCAAGAGCTCAAACATCCTGCTGGATGAGAATTTGGCTGCTAAGATTTCCGACTTTGGTTTGTCCACAATTGGTCCAGCTAATCAGGTGGGCACCACTAATGTTTATACCAATCAGATCAGAGGCACATTTGGATACATAGATTCTGAGTATTACACGACTCACAGACTGACACGAAAGTCTGATGTGTATGCATTTGGTGTGGTGTTATTGGAAGTGTTGTGTGGTAGACCTGCTCTGGATTTTACATTGGATGAGGAGCAACACAGCCTAGCTGTATGGGCCAAAGACTGCATCAAAGAAGGTAAGATTGATCGAATCATTGATCCATGTTTGAGGGGGAAAATCACAGCTAATTGTCTGAAGGAATTTGGGAGAATTGCATCTGAATGCATCCTTACTCGTTCAAAGGATCGACCCACAATGACTAAGGTAGTGGCTCGGCTTGAATTTGTGTTAACTTTGGCGTCACAAAAACGCGGTGGGGCAACAATTGCTGAAAAGGTGTGGTCGTTGTTCCCTCTCAAAATTCCAGGTAAACTTGGTTCTTAGAAAATACTATTAATTGTATGTGGAGATATGAATTTCACAAGCATTGTTCATTGTGGGGATTTAATCTTTAGTGTCCTTTTTATTTACTTTCATTTGGTTTCAGCAGTAAATGGTAAAAATTACAGACTTAGAAAAAAGTGGAGCGATTACAACAAAAGTAAACGGATCATACTAGACAAAGATATGACAGAAGGGAGCAATGAAGGTAAAGATAACAGTGTCATTGTAGTAGACCCCACTAAGCCAGCAGCAGAGGGGAGCAATGGCACTATAAACAAACGTGTCATAACGGAAGAACCCATTATGACTGCAGAAGAAAGAAGCAGCAACTGTATGAAAGAAGGTGCTATTATAAATAAACTCGCTACCACAGCAGTAGAATGTCATGACACTAAGGCTCAGCCATCAAGTAGTCAGATGGGGACACATAATTTGATGATATTCACATTTGATGAGGTAAAGAGAGCTACCAGGAATTTCCTGCCATCAGAATTACTTGGAGTTTCGGATGGTGCCTCAGTCTATAAAGGGTGGGTGGATAGTGCATCGTATGAACCATCAGTGTTAGGTGTGGGGATAGCCGTCGCGATCAAGATTTCAAATACAAATAACGCCCGAAGTCGTAAAGAGTGGCAGGTATGTTTGTCTATTATACTTTTGAACCATAAGATGCTATTCCTTTACTCCACCTCACATGAGATATATACATGGAATGCCTAAGCTTTAAGTTTAGTGAGTAGTTACAGTTTCATGAATAAACAACTTTCATAGAACATGTCAATTTAGCATATGGGTAGCTATTCAATACATTCATACAAAACAACTTTCTTTTATATATATATATATATATCCCTTTTGAGGATCTAACTACAACATGCAAATATACAATATTGTCTGAGGTTCGGTTCGCTAACTCAGACAATATTGTCTACCTTCATGTCCATATCCCAATGTCTACGTAAGGGTTGCCCCATAAGGTCCGTTTACAAGAGTTCCCTTCATGTCCACTGATCCGAACCAAAAAATAAATGCAAGATAACTAAGAACGAATCATGTTATTCGAGAAACAAGGGATTTCCTAAAGAGTTCAAAACTCAGAAATTGTTACTCATCATGTAATTTGTCATACCTATAAGGCTTTATCAGGGGTGGTGGTGGAAATCCAGATTCCAAATGGATCATGTAGGATCGTTTTCCGAACTGATATTTCTACCCTATGCCCGAGTTACAAGAAATCCATTCTATGAATCAAGGCACAAAATCGTAAGCCAAATTGCTAGAGAATTTTGAGATTATTTAGAAGAGAGAGAGCTAAGAAGGGTATCCTAACGGCTCAAAGAGAACAGCCGTATTTATAGTTGACAATTTGGGTTTCCGTCCTCTAAATTAGTTAAGTAAATCATAGAATTAAAAACATAATCAAATGGTTTCCAAAACTGACGAGATATGTCAATTTTACCATAATTACCCACTAGAATTCGGATTTTCCACTATAATACTAATTCGATGGCCACCGCCAGGGGCTCATCCCCCAGGACCCTGACCCTGCTACCCCCGTCATTTTGTCGTACTAGCTTATAATTCGATCTTATATATGCGTGCAATCCGTACACACCAAATATATAATATAAAGTACAAATTACAAGTCCTTTAGCTCACATATTAGTTCCAATTACACAAAATGCATGGTGACACTAAAATCATTAACAAAACCCTACTTACCAAAATTAAAAGATAAAAAGATAACTATTAAGGAAATACTAATCTTAATTAAGTACAAAAGAGAACCCTCCTTATTTGCAGCGCTGGTAAACACGACCAAAACGACTTGTTGTATCATTACTCCCCTCCCAAACATACACCTTGTCCTCACGGTGGAAATCTAGGTTCTGCAACCGAATATTGATGAAATTGTTTGGCATCTCCTAGCTCTCCATAATTTTATGTCCCATCATTATCCGACACCAATAAAATTTAGAGCATTCAAAACTGGCACATCGATGCCTAGGCATTAACCTTTCATCACATCGGAAACATATCCCTTTTTTCGCTGTTGTCTTGAAATTCGGTCTCCATCTACCTTTGAACTTGCCCACTAACCTGGCCACCCAAAGTAACACGAGCCCCCTGTCCCGATCGTGAAAGACCCCGCCTCACCTGTTTTCCTTAACATTATTGATATCCTCATAGCGTAAGTCAGGATTTCTGATTTCATGACCCTAACGATTGATCAACGTTCGACTTCAACCCATTTGTAAATGTGCATTCCTTTTTCGATAGCTCCCCCAATTGTATCATAATTTGTTCAAAACTACTGAGGTAATCACGAACGGTCTCTTCTTGAAAACTAACCAAAAACTGCTCATATACTCTAACCTCATATGAGGACCGAAATCGCTCTAGCAGTCACCTCTTTGTTCTGACCCACGTGCAAAATCGGGATCTCTCGTCGCTCCAACGGTACTAGATTTTAGTTATCTTTCTCGGTTGGTCTCGTTCCTCAATGTCATGAATTTCGAAGTATCATTCAACCCGATGCATCAAACTTGATGAATCAAACTCTCTTAATGGATGATCCATTTAGAGGCTGCCTCTAAATGTAACCATTAAGAGACTTCCAAACAGTCCTTTAGATTTGGATGAGAATCTAGGACTAACATAATTTCGTTTGAAATTTGTGAGACCTTGGAGGCTATATATATGGAGACGGTTGTTCCATTGAACTTGTCCCACTAAACCCTATCAAGACCACATGAATATTAAAGGAACATGACGAAACCGCAAGGAACGATAAGGAAAATGTAGAAGAATAAAAGCCACAACGAAGTAGGGGTGAGCATTTGGACCGGACCAGACTTGGACCGGGCTGATTTTCAGAAATTGGTGAACCTCGGACCGGACCTATTGAGGCTTATCCTGTCCGGAGGTCCAAATGCTCACCCTTACAACCAAGCTTTTAAAAACTATCATAGAAATTGGAAAAAACAATTAAATTTTAATTCTAAAATGATAAATTATTTAAAAGATTAAATATAGTTTAAATATAATATTATGATAAATGTAATTATAAACTAAATAGTTAAAATTATGAATTACTTTAGAGAAAACTGCAAGTATGGTTCCTATGTTTAGCAAAATTTTTGAGTTCAAGTCCCTAAACTAGAAAATTTACACATAATGCCCTTATGGACATGTTTCCTTGTGGGTATGATACCATTGGTTGGGGCTCTAATGATGGATCCACGTGATTACCTTAGCAATTCAAACATATCTCAAAGAGATGTCAGACGCTTGTCCCATAAAAAGTGTAAAATCCAACAACTAAATGGATAACTAAGATGCGGAAACACGATAAAAATGTATAATTATGAGAGCAACACATACCAAGATATAGAAAATGTAAAATGCAAACAAAAAACATACAAGACACAAGCATTTAACGTGGCTCCACAATCTGAGTGAGTGATTATGTATATCCACCGAGAGAAACATACGGCTTTTATTATTAATCAACAATCAAACAGGGATCACAAATCACTTACAAGTGATCAAAATGAAGATAAAAAATACTTAATCTTCAAAGAAATCGCCAACGTGGAATAAGTCTAAGAACTAGGTCAAAGTCACCTGGAAATGTCTTAAAATGGCCAAACAACATCTCAGTGCTACTTCGTTTGCTAGATCAAGTCGCAGAACAAAGTAGCCCCGAAGGGTGAAATTGTTAGATCAAACTAGCAAACCTCTAGCAGACAAAATAGCATAAGTGTTTTGGACAGAATAGTAGTTGAATGCTACTTCGAAGACTAGATCATCTAGCAGACAAACTAGCAGAAACTTGGAATTTCTTCTTTCTTCCGGTGATGCTCAAAATCTCAAACAGTTGTGAATAGGAAGTATTGTGTATCACCCAAAAAAAAAAACATACGTACTCACCTTGTTTGCTTATAGCTTTAAGACTAATATCTCAAAGTTCTTGGATCTTCTTATGTTTATTGAGTGCTTTTGCTAGGTGGAAATGATAGGTTTCACATTTGCTTTTTATTTATAGCCAATGTGTTTTCCTATGAATATATTTAATTTTTCAGAACGGTTTATCCCTCCCTTTTCTTATAGGAGATATTACTACAAAAGGAATTATAAAAAATAGAATGCTATTTTGCTCAAAAGAAGGTACTAATTTGTTTTATAACTTTTTTAAGATTAATTTATTAAATGATATCGTGTGTTTGCGAGTGACAGGCAGAACTAAAGCGGGGAAGGTTTAGCCATCCCAATCTTGTTAAACTCTTGGGGTATAGTTCAGAAGGCAGAATGTGTGTGCTCGTACACGGATACATACCAAACAGAAACTTCCTAGACATTTTTCACCGTAAGTATTCCCTCTGTATATTTTTGTGTATGAAATTCAAAATCATGAATTTTCTAACTCAGTCTACAACAAGTCAACAATCCAGAGAATGAAGATCTCCCTCTTATAGTCGAAACCTAATTGGCCCTTAAAATGTTCCAGATTCAATTTCATGCTGCATCTCTTTTTCCATGTTAATGGGGGGTTTTAGCCATATCTTAAATTTCAGTTATGAGGATATATAATTGTGCTCATTTTACTTTATTTAATCATTTGCAGGCCGTCGAGTTGCATGGGATAAAACAATGAAAATTGCCATTGGAGTAGCCAAAGGCCTTGCTTTCTTGCATACTGACAAGAGGACCCCTCTATATAGGACATTCAATGCTTCAAATATTTTATTAAATGAGGTATATAAGAACCTGATCATGATTTATCAAGTTCATTTTCTTAAAGAGATAAAGAAAGAAATTTCCATTGAACACATAATCATATATAGTGATTGATCAAAGACATAAAATGTGTCAAACACTATATTCACAGCAATGCAAGATGCTTGCACCTTTTAATCAAATTGGCCTGTTGAATCTTATTGATTTTGTCTTTTGGTGTTAGGATGATGAACCACAGCTCTATTTTGGATGGGCATCATTATCCCGGGTTCGTGGATCATTTTCCACCACTCGTTACAACCCTCCTGAGTACATGGCTACAGGTCTGTTACCTTGCATATCCCAGCATAACCATGTTAGTCTAGTAAAGTAGTACTAACTAGGGTTATATGCTTTTTGAGGTTATACCCAATCACAGGGCAATAACAATCCTTGTTTCTAGGATTATACGATTTCTGTTCTAAAAAAAGTTCTCTTGTCTAGACTTTAAATGTCAAACATGTTAGAAGTTGAGTAAACATTCAAAGAAAATAACAAAACCAGAAACATACTTGCAAAATATTTTTATAGAATTGAAATAAAATTCAGTAAAGCATGGGTACGTTAGAATCCTTGAACTAACTTTTTTTGTTTCAAATTTCCATGTTTCGGTTTTAGAGCTGGGTGGGATCCATATGGCATCCACATAAATGTTTTATTTAATTTTATCTTTTATTAAAACATAAAATTATTTTAGCATATCAATAATTAAGACATATATTTTTTGTTATTAAAACTTCAACTTTAGGTTGTTGGTATGTCAAGAGTGACGTCTATGCCTTTGGAGTGACGATGTTGGATATGATAGCAGGGTTAGGGTTTCTGGATAACAAGCAGTGCTCCTCACCAGAGAGTTTAATGGAGCGGGCTACACCCATTTTATCTGATAATTACATACTGCAAAAAATCTTCGAGAAGCGGTTGGGACAAGATAACACTCCAAATGGAGCAATCAAAGTAGCTGACCTCATCCTAAATTGTCTCAAAATCGCCCCAAAAAACCGACCTTCAATGAAAGAAATTGTGGCTACCTTAGAAGGGATTAATGCCATTGAGATAAGATGAAGCGCCCAAATATGTGTCGGTCAGTCAAATACTCAAAAGACTAGAGACAAAGAGCAAAAATTGGTGTTAAACTAGCAAAAATCCATTAATAGTTGGCAATAGATATAGCGATGGAGAGTACTGCTCGATGGTAGTTTTGACAAATGGAGTAATGATCGGTTGGTAAATTAGTAGATTCACCAATGGTGTTGCATCCATTGGTGTTTTTAAGGATTCAACAACTCAATGTAAATATTTTTTGTAGAACCTTTGTAAATATCTTAAAGTTGTCCATTCATTTACTTGACTATTTGTACATTATCACTTTATTTTACACAAACACACACTTTCATATGTTCCATATATCTTTAATTCATTTTATATATGGTTAACTCATGATCATATACTTGTAACTTTTCTGTAATCTTTTTTGTGTTCCATATATCTTTAATGGGATAATGACTTAAAAGGGTAACAAAGTTAAGATTTTGTACATATTTAGTCGCTCATGTTTACTTTTGTACACATTTAGTCATTTATGCGTTTTTCTACATATTTAGTCATATGTTTACAAAGTAAAAAACATAAATTAGAGTAAATAAATTTCAAGCAAAATATCAAATGGTTTTTTTTAGCATCAAATTTTATTTTTATCCGGCCACACATTAAAAACATTATATAAATATACACTCAATATTTTAATGAAAAAATAACATATTCTTTTATTATTATGTTATTTTATTAAAACTAGAAAAAATCCCGGGCTTCGCCCCGGGTTAGATAGTTTTTTTTTTTTTTTTTGTTATCATGCTCTTTTTCAGTTCAGTGGATCTTGAACTTCTTTCGTTCTCATTAGGGTAATGTACTTAAAAGAACTTACAATGTTGTAATGAGAAATGAAAGTAGGGTACTATAATAAACAAATAAATTCAAGGTACATTGATATTTTGTAACATCCAAAAATTTTACGCCAAATTTAAACTTTTCAAGCATAAATAAAACCCAATAGTATTGTTTACAAAAAATGTTTTTAATTCACTATTCAATCAGAGTGTCCCAAAAGCCAGATCATAAGGATGAGGAGCGGTACGGTCACGCCTTCGCCTTGCCATGAACTCCTGAAGTACCTGAAACAATAAACTGAAAACTGTAAGCCCGATGGCTTAGTGAGCCACCCCCAAAATACCAATACCACACTGATAATACCATATCCGTAATAATCAATCGATCCACATGCATACTGGGACATCGGCCTGACTGGACTGCCCTACAGGGCCTACAGTCTAACTGAATCTATACCGAGCCTTCGACATGACTGGACCGCCATGTGGGCCTACAGTCTCCCCGGACCGCTCATAGGGTGTGTTGGCCTTCAGCACAAAGCAGGACCGCCTCAACCCAAGCAACAAGCAATTAACCATGTGCGCATAACTAATATATACTGGCATATACAAACATCAAACATATATATCTTACTGATCACCAAACATAGCAATCTCTCATAACTAGAGCACTTACCTAGCAGGTCACTAACATATTAATCCCTACGGATCATAAGAGCATAACATACTGTCTATCCTGATTCCGATCTAACAGATCATATCCACATGTAGCATACCATAACGATAACAACTAAAGGGCAGGCCTTGGTGCCCTAGACCCTATCGATATAGTGAGGATAACTCACCTTGCAGATGCCGACTCGGTAGATAAACTTCAACCCTTGGATCACTTGACACAGGCTCCACCACCTATTACCATAGTACAATATACTCGTAAGTCCTTAACCTCATAAGGTATTCCATAACCCACTAGTCAACCCCTGGTCAAAGTCAAAGTCCTCAGTCAAGGTCAACAGTCCATGTTGACCTTAACTCGCCGAGTACCCTTGGCTACTCGCCGAGTTCCTTGAAGCACTTTCCAACTCGCCGAGTCATCGAGGTGACTCGTCGAGTTCCTCCGATTCTCGATCAAAATTTAAGGCCACCCGTCGAGTTTCCTTCTTGCAACTCGACGGATACACACGCATACATATCCTGGAGAAAACTCATCCGACTCGCCGAGTTGTTCATACAACTCGCCGAGTCTATGACAATCTTCATCGGACTCGCCGAGTTGCTCATCCAACTCGTCGAGTTCAAGGCCATCTTCATACGACTCGCCGAGTCAACCTTGCGACTCGCCGAGTTCCTTCAGCCCTTAAGCCATACTGACTCATTTAAGCCATGCAATGACTCCAAATTACAGATCCAAGCTTCTAGAGCATGCTTTTCACGTAAAGTTGCAAACTTTACGTGTATGCATGGCTAAAAAGGCTCTTAATGGCAATTCTAAGATCTTAATGGGGTTTCATGCACAAGGAGGGTCTCAATCACCCCCAAACCCGCAATTTTATGATTCTAGGACTTAGGAAGGGTCCAGATCTGAAGTTACAACTTCAGATCTAGCCCATAGCTCCCCATATCAACTCAAAATCCATAAAACCCTAAAACTCATCCAAAAGAAAAGAGATCTAGAAGGAAAGGGAAGTAAAGATTGCAACTTGATACCTCCAGAAGATGCTAGCTGAGGTAAGTTCTGCTTCCCACACCTTCCTTGCTTCAACTCCTTTGCTCTTCAAGCTTTTCCCTCCTAGCCAACCTTCTTTCCAAGGCTTAAATCACACCAAGAAGAGTACCACACGAATTAAGGTTTCACTGAGCTCTCAAAGACTATAAAGAGGCCAAAGGAGGCTGAGGCTCCTTTAAATAGGGTGCAAAACCCCGGGATTTAGGGTTTCATCTGCCAGCTCCTACTCGTCGAGTCCCTTCATGGACTCAGCGAGTAGGTCACTAAACACGCGTATCAAACCCGTTGCTACTCGACGAGTAGGGCAACCAACTCGTCGAGTAAGCCTTGAAACAAATTAAATTCTTATTTAAACGATACCTGGGAATCGGGGTGTTACATATTTAGTGGAATTACGACGTAAATATGGAAAAATACACCAAATAGATCAAAATAAATTGCAAAAACCAATGTGTAAAGTCAAAGTACATTGATATTCAGTGCATTTTCCCCCAAAATATGCAAAAAAATGCTACAAACACTACAAGAAAAAGACCATTTTACGACGCGCAAACCACGACACTCATTGATTTATGTTACACAAAAGAGAGTGACATTAAAAAAGTGTCATCTCTTCAAAAATTTTAAGGATTTATGTCACGCATTATTGTGTGCCCTTAAATTAGTGTCTCTAGAAAAGAAATTAAAAACATAGAGGGCGCTTTATTTTAATCGTGCGTCCTCTATACCTGTCGCTTTATAATTTTAATGAAATGCGTGTTTAGTAGAGGGGGAAACGAAATCCCCAAAATTTTGAAAACCCGGAAATCCCCAAAATTTTGAAAACCTGTCTTCTACCTTCTTTCTATCTTTCATCTTCGCATTCTACTCTCCCCTCTCCCTCCTTCTCTCTTCTCTCCGATCCGCTTCTCTGCCACTCCTTAATACCTTGCAGGAATCTAAAAACTAGAAAACCCCGTCCTCACAAAGTCTAGGAAACTAGGGTTTTTTCATCCCTCAAAGAACGACCCACATCCTCCATAGATCGATCTCTATCTCTTCATTTCTCACAAGATATCGAACACTTTACATTCATAGGGCCACAAAATCGACTATTGCTTGAACTAGGGTTTCGAGTTCGTATCACATAACCCTCCCTCAATCTGTTCTCCCTGTTCAATCGATTCGCTGGTTTTGCTCGACTCCCGCTCACGCCGACCATCGATGTTCAATCGTCGACCATCGCCGCAACTATAAGTCTTTATCTTCAAGTCTTTATCGAAGGTTTAATCGAAGGTTCATCTGTTATGTAAGTCTTTATCGATGTTCAATCGTTGCTCGCTGATTACGGCCCTCGTGGTACCATGGTTATTCGACCATACGGTTATGCCATTTGGGAAGCTATTCAGGTAGGTCTTTTGTTTGTTTTGAGACGAACTTGTTAAGCTCTAGCTGTTCGATTTTGATTTTTTTACCTTCCTCCAAATTTAACCTAGATTTTCTCAATCTTTTAATATATGCAGCGTTTCCTGTAGTACTTCTTTGTACTTAAATGCAGTCAATTCTGATTTGTTTGAAGCTAAAACCAACAACTTTTTCTACATTCAGACTCCTTTGTGACCAAAAGCAGTATATATTCACAGATTAGATTACTCTCTATAACGTAGCCAAATATGTGATTTCTATTTACCATTGGAAACATAAACATACACTTGAAAGCAAATTTGTAGCTCTTGTTTATCATCTGGATTCGACAGAGTAATCTTGTAGGGAGTTGTTGACTTTTGGTTTTCCTTTTACAGGATTATTTGAATATTAAATTCAAGGAAACAGGACATAGCAACATGTATTTTCAACAGGTAGCTATTAAGTTATTGTCTTTTTGTTGATCATTGAATGCACTGAAATAAATAATGGATGTTACTTGCAGTTTATACCATATTCCTTCATAGAGAAAGAAGCCAGCCATGTTGAGGGTTTCAGCCTAGAATTGGCTCTTGTAACTTTTGGAGGAGGGAAAGAACTTGAAGAAAAACTTGTGGTACTGATTATAGTTATTCTCCACCTCTAATTTGATATTGTTTTGTATATTCACTCACAAGTTAGGTTTTGATTTTTCGATTTTTTGTCATGTTGAATTCGAGCTCATATGACTTCGAGCATTGCAAAAATTCAGTGAAGCAATGGGCATCTTCTTCCCTTCATTCAGACACCAAAGATGGTCATATTCTCAAGGGCTTGCTCTTTTTTCTTCATGTCCCAAGAACTGGAGGCCGAACTTATTTCCATTGGTAACTTCATTCAGACACCAAATTGAAATGGATTTTACACCTGTTAGTTGACACCAAGACCTACTATATATATATATATATATATAATTATATATATATATATATATATATATATATATATATATATATAATTATATATATATATATATATATATATAATATATATATATATGCTAAATTAAAGCAACAGAGAATAATTGTCTATCTTTTTATCTATCTGTGTATCTATATATAACATTAATACACAATATAATATGTAGTTTAGTTCACCTTTAACCCAAAATAGGTAAGCCTTTTTTTAATATATCTAATGCAATATATAAAATATTGGTCTTTTGGGTTGTTTTAAAAACGACAATACCTTAATCCAAAGTTATTTAAAGTTTATTAACAAAATACTTATGACCACGTTGATTTTGATAATAAATTTTCTTGATTTAGCTAAAAGATAAATAAACATTTTACGTATTTGATTATTATGACAATTTCGTTTTCTATGTCGACTGATAATGTGTTGCATTCGACTATTAGATGGTATTCTGGATCCTCTTCTAGAACCATGGATTGGTTTGACATGTCTGATCCTTTTTCAAGGGCGTTTTCGACTTTTTTTCATGATGTCTGTGTAACGTTGGGTTTTTTGCAGCTTTGAGACATTGTCTAAGTCATCATAGTTGAGGGCTTCTATATCGGCTACTTTATTCAGATCTTCTTCCATGTTTTCTGCATCCCCATTTTTTTCATCCTGTTGAATAGAAGATAAATTATAAATAAGCAAGAGTTTTAACTTTTACATGACATTAAGATAACACGTATATTTATGCTCACCAGGTTCTCATTATCATTGTCGGATAGATCCTCAAGATCTGCAAGAAATGAATCTTCAAGGTTTGCCTGGAAAAAAGAAAAAGATTAAGATATTGGTAACACATGCAAGAAATTTCCTGTTATGTTTCCACTCTATTTGATTCAAGCTGTAATCATACGTGGAAGCACATATTGTTGCTTATTGAATGTAGATTAAACCAAGAAACACACAAGGACTTGCGTACATAAAGATTAAAAGGCAAGAAAAAATTAATAAGAGTGTTTCAGAGAATCCATACCATTATTTTGTGGAGAGCTGTAGCTCAGGTATCAGAAACAATGGCAGAAACTCGGATACTTGAAGTGTTCTTCTTCACTCTGTCTACAATAAGAATCCACACCAATTGTTAAGACTTTATAACCTTAATTATATAATATGCTTTTACTATTACTTTTACTCAATGCTTTACATATAAGCATTGTACTATTAATATTTTGATTTTAAATTTTCAGGATATTTAATCAATTGATTGGTTCTCCCATGGCTTGGGTGGTATGAAGGTAATTCATGATTAAAAGTAGTTAGAAAACTTTACTAGATTTTTTTAGATACATATTATTACAGTTGAGTGATCTTCCTTACAAGATTAAAAGTAGTTAGATGTATGAGATTGTTGTTGATAAATCTCAACCTGCAAAATCAGAAACTTCCTCTCTGTTATATGTATATGAATTTGCTTTGTACATTAGGCTTCTACCAATCTTCTTAAAGCATATGTCACTTGTATGAAGTTAACTATATTCCATTATCAGTTAACTCAAAAGGAAATTGAAGTAGTAACTTTCTTTCTTTTTTGGGGCTTTTTGTAACTTTCTTTTTCCATTTCAGTTCCCACACTGAGTGCATTGTTACAGAGGGCCACAAAGCTATGTTCTGAACATTTTCTAAATTGAATTGAGGTCTTTGTAACTTTTTTGGTCCCTGTCCCAAGAAAAATGACAATAGTTTTGGGACCAAAATTGCAAGGTTGGAATTAGTAGAAGCAAAATCCTTGCATGTGGCCCGGTTGGTAAATATATTCAAATATCACATGATGAGGGGCATACTTGTAATTTCATTGCCACTTGAAAGAATGGTTGTACATGGTACTAACAGGTATCCTTCTCACTATTTTGTTGGCCCTTATGAATCCAATTTGGCTCCTGATAGTTTATATTTCTTTATTAACTTTTTAACATTTACTTTTAAAATTGTAATTTACATGCAAGCTTCAGTGTGGTTGGCTCCTGCTAGTTTATATTTCTTTGTTGTTTTTTTCAAGTTTTTTTTGCAGATATACAAGTGTAGCATTCTTCATTTCAATTGTTAGTTGTACTACTAATGATGGAAGCTGCTAATAAAGGAAATGGAAGAAGCCGCATGAAATAAATTTTTTGTAAGAAACACAATAGATTAGATGAATGCAAATTTATATATTGTAAGAAATAGAATTGTATGACATTAAATTTTATGCAATAGATTGTATTTTTTGTATATGGTATTTTATTTCTATTATGAGACATTAAATGCAAATTTAATTTAAAAATTAATAAATATATAAATATATTTTTTTTAAACATTTAAATTTACGATACGCAAAAATGTGTGTCATCTTCATTTATGACATGTTTCTTGACAGGGGTTTTAATGATACGCATTGCGTGTCGTCTCTCGTTATGATAGGGCCTTCCTTGACGCGCATTTGCGCGTCGTCTGAGCGTTTTACGACACACATTGCGCGTCGTAAAAGGCTGTTTTTCTAGTAGTGAAATAGCAACTTACTTTAGGTGTTGGTAAAAAATTCAAAAAAATTGCAACCTCTTCATGAGTTTGAAACATCCTCAAAATGTCCATGTAAAAACAATGAGTTAATCACATATTTTAATTTCCTTGATAGCTTCATTTGCCTAAAGTTTCAAGAAAAGGTTTGCCTAGCAGGAATTTGCCTTTTTCTCCATAGGAACATTCCATCGAACACCTGGGGTGCGAAATCAAAAACTTTAGACAAACGTTGCCTTCATCTAACCGATGATTGCTTATTTCCCAGGTGAACATGACGTTCACTATTAGAAATACAGCCTTTTACGACGCGCAATACGTGTTGTAAAACGCTCAGACGACGCGCAAATGCATGTCAAGAAAGACCCTGTCATAATGAGAGACGACACGCTTTTGCGCGTCGTCTATAGACGACGGGCACTTACGACGCGCAATTACGACACGGGATTTACGACGCACATTTACGACACGCAATGCGTATCAAGGAAGGCCCTGTCATAAAGGACGACGACACGCATTTGCGTGTCGTAACCTTACGACGCGCATTTATGACTCGCATTGCGTATCATTAAAGCTCCTGTCAAGAAAGGCCATGTCATAAATGAAGATGACACACATTTTTGCGCATCGTAATTTTATATGTTTAAAAAAATATTATTTATAGATTTACTAATTTTCAAATTAAATTTGCATTTAATGTCTCATAATAAATAAAATATCATATACAAAAATACAATCCATTGCATAAAATTTAATGTCATACAAATAATCGTTCCATGGAAAGATAAAACAAATCAATAAAAGTTATAACGGAAATTTACAAACTAATTAGATACAAGAAATATGAAAAACTTGAAATCCCTAAGATTAATAGTTCTAACAGAAGCTTCACGTGAGATACATATAGTTGGACCAGTAAGCAAGGATGTTCCCGAATCCACAATAGCAGCACAAGAACACGTACACGATATCTTCTGCAAGAAGGTGCCAGTCCAAAACTACTGTTGAAGGTTGCCATGATAGCTGTTAAGATTTAAGCATAACAAGAAACCAATCGGTGACTATAATAAGCTAGAAAACAAGCAACTAATAAACAAAATAAGAAACTAAATAAGTCAAACTATGACTATGCATACAAATTGGCAGCAAACAAGTAAATAAATGAAGAAAATTACCTTCCATTGAAATGGAATAACAAGTTCAACATATTTCCCATGGCCTAAAGCAGGTAAGTCAACACGAGAAGGAATGTAGTCAACACGAACAACAACATGCCACTCTTTTGTAACAATGTAAGCATCAAGTGTAAAAGTTAATACAAACAACACCAAGTCTGAACCAATATCAGAGAAAATGAAGTAATCAGAATGTGCACATGTACACATGGCAGTTTAGCAAGGATAAAACTGGAATAGACAAACTTACCTTTCTGTAACGAAGCTAAGCTTCCACTCTCCCCTAAAGTACTCAAAAGATGCACAATGATTGAAAGCCTTCTATGTTCAGTAACATTTAGTAATATATTTGATCAAATACTTTCTTGGAGTGACTATGCCACTGCAGAAAACAACTTGTATTAAAAAAACGACACATTTACAGATTATGAATACAATTTATCATAAAGATTAATATATTATTACCTGTTGTTACTTTCTTTTTCTTTTTCCCATGTGGGGTACCAGTTGATGGACTTGATTTATCCGAAACATAATCAAGCATGAGTCTCCTCAGTGATGCACCATGAATTTGGAAATGTGCTCAACTACAAAGATTAAAATATACTTTTTTTTTAATTCATAAAAGAAATATTAAAAAAAAAATTAGGGTTGTGGATGCTTACATTGCTGAGAAGTTTTGCTCCATACCATGCAGAATCTGCACCATAAGGGGAAGTGATAACACGAATTCCATTGGATATGGAGGGAGGTAGAAGATCATGTACTTCCTTTTCTAATCTTTCTACAATTAATTAAAACATGAAGCATTTATAAATTAATATTATATTAAAAATTGAAAACATTTATATTTATAAATTAATTTATACCTGGTAACCCTGGTAAACATTACCATGCAGTGCCTCCAGCCAACACAACTGTCCTGAACCAAGTATGATCGGTTCTCATTTTGGCAGCATGGCAACGCTCAATGAAATCTGTCACTGTCTGATGTAGACCCATTGTATTTCTGAGACCAAAAAGGGTAAAATTGGAAATTATATAAAAATAATTTAAGGGCATAAGTTTATAGATATTAAAGTGGATAAAAGATTACATTCATTTGTTGATTCCGTCATTGTAAACACTAACTTAATGCTTGTAACATGATTCTTGTGTATTAGCGATTATGGTAAGAGGATGAAAGACTAACATACCTGTCTCTCTGTTCCAAGAAATCCGGGCATCAAAAAGTCAAAAAAAGACCACAACTCCAACACATTATTCTGCATAATAGTTCCAAAACATCTGTCTCAAATGCTAAACATCTATACGAATCACATTGTAGTTTTGAAACTGTGAAGATATAATAAAGGCATCAATGAAGATATAACAGAGGCATCAATGAATTTTTCAATCTCATATACCCAGTGCCCCATATCATCACATAAAATTCCATGAAGGTTAAACCTCTTTAAAAAGGGTAACCAGTTTATACCCTCTTGCTGATACCTTCTCAGGGTGACTTTCAACTACTTCTAGACAACAGGCATTCACTCAATCCAGAAGGAGGAGAGACACCACGTGCAAGGGGCAAAAGAGGGACAAGGGCAGCAAAGCTGTGTGTGACACTTCTTCTAACAGAATGATCACAATCACTCATACACCTTAAAAGAGGGACAACTAACAGCCTTGCATAAGGAACAAGATCAGTGCCTAATCCTTGAACAAGCAGACTCATTAGCATCCCTGCTCCTTGTCTAGCATTCACAGATGCCATGTCACCCAACATAGGGATTATGTTTTCAATTACTGAGCCCGTGATGTTGACTGTCATTGACTTTGCCATTGATGTGATGCATCTTGAAGCAGATAGTCTCACAGCAACATGAGAATGGCGGACACAGGTGAAAATGCATGGGAGGAGTGTCATTAGTTTATCTGATACTACCTGATCTCTTTCCAGGAAGCTTAAAGTACGACGGCGAACTGTGTAAAACCAATTTCAATCAGTAAAAGAATGAAATAAGTGACTCATCAACACACACATACACGAATATAGATAGACTAAGAGGTATCTAGTTCATAAAATTACATTTTTATTAGGAAAAGGCCATGAAATAAGAACAAAAAATGAAAAGGGTTTACTCTAAAACCAATTATGGCCCCTGATTCTTAAAAAAAAATAATAAGAACCAATTATGGCCCCTGATTGGGATAGCTCTTCCTCCCTTTGAGCTTGTTGCTTAGCCAATATCTGAAGGTGTGGAAGGTGCAATTCCTCACCAGGTTTGTGTTGAGGAACGCTCAAGATAAGAGCAGCTAGATCCCAGGTGGCAACTTTTGATGTAATACGGATGCCTTTTGATGTACAATTTATAAATAAGAAAATACAAATACTTTTAAAATATTTTTCCATTTAAATAAAGAACAAATTTATCGACTTCCTAATATAGAATGTATGAAAATTAATAAACAAACAAATAAATATTACATGGTTTTCACATATGTTGCTAGAAATATCTAGATTCTGTTCGAGTCATATACAAAAAATATTTTACATGAATTTTATAGAATAATTTATTAACCCAAAAAAATAATATATGCATTATTTCTAAGAGTAGTACAGTACAACACAGCAAAGTATACAATTTTTTTTTTTACTATTTTGCCCCTGAGGCCTTGACAGTTCAGTGTTGTTGTCATGTTCATCGTTTATGAATTCACAAACATCATAAACTGTTAGTTTGATTTACAAGATGCAGCACAATGAATTCACAAACAACAGCAATAAAGTGAGAGAGAGAGAGAGAGAGAGAGAGAGAGAGAGAAATCATACAATAAAAGCTAGTATGATAGCAATTGCAAATTTAGTGCCACCAATACCATCCAAAAAACCAACAGTAGCAGCAGCAAGAGCAGTCACAGTTGCTGAATGTGATGATGGCATGCCCACCAGATCCCACAAGCTGCTCAATATCCCATTCCTTTTCTTTATAACAAATGAAAAGGTTAAATGTGGCAAGCATCAAAATCAGAGTTTTGGGAAAAAAAGTTGGACTGCCAGTGCAACAATCATACAGCCACATGGACCATTTCTGTTACTTACCTTAGATTAAATGTGGCAAGCATCAAAATTAGAGTTTTGGAAAATACTATGTGTATCATTATGTACCTATGGTGGCAAGGAAGAGCAACATATGCGATTGTTGGATTGGCCTTACATATGGGGCATAATGTGTCATCCCCCTCAGAACCTGAAGACTTGTCCTTTGAAAATGGACGAAAAAGACTTTTCATTGAAGATGAATTGAGAATAGGAAGTAGCAGCAACAACTTTTCCTGCAAATGCATAACAATGGGTATGTAAGTACTTCATTTATACAAAAGAGGGAAGATTGGTAAAATTTCATCCATGAAGCAAAATAGAGTGGAGAATGGAATTGAAATCCATGAGTTTATGGAAATGGAATGGAATTGAATTCCAACGGATGCATACAAAGTAAAACCCAAAACAAGTGAAACGTTTACCTCTAATGAGAGATCTGAAGAGCTTGATTCTCATACTCATGTAAAGTAAAGTCTTTCATTAGGTCTAACCTCAACATTTATCAATAATCATAAAACCTAAAGTGAATAATTACACATAGCAAAACAAGAAACTAAAATATGGTTTGCATGTATGGTTGAAAATGATCTTATGTGACAGTTGTTTCAAACAAACAATAAGAAAAATTGTACTCCGTTAACTTGTCAAAGATAAGCTTCTTGTAAAGGTTTAGGGTATGATTTTTGGCTAATAACCTCAGAACCCCAATTAAATTAGTTCCTTTATCATATATCTCCTAGAAAAATAAAGAGCTTGATAAGAAACACCACACAAATAGAAAAGAAATTCTATTGTTTTCTCAGTATGTGAGTCAAATATCAACATATAGGAAATATGAAAATAGAAAACAATCTGAGAGAAGAAGACAGAAGTTTCAAATATCAACATAGTAATTTAGTACCTCTGCTACCAGTCAAAAGAGCCATTCCGCCCTCATACGAAACTGGTGCAAAGTTGTTTGCTTCTCTCCCATTGTATTTTATAGAAGCCTTGTCATAAGTGTAATAACTTATCAACTAATCAGGTTGAAAAAAAAAAGTTAAAAGTCAAACCTTACAGTTCTGATTCCAGTGTCAACAACCGAAGGTAGATTTAATTTCTTTCAAGAAATAGGCATATCAGAGCTTCCCGCTGACACAATCACAAATTACAGTAAGGATTATCATCTAAGATGAGCAACAACACTCATTTGATAATTATAATGTACAAATATGAGATGACTTCTCTCTCAAGCATTTCATCAAACATCTTATATGCGTTATAAACTTATTAAAGTTTTACTTTTTTATGTTTAAGTTGTTTGACATTAGTTAAAAAGAAACGAGCCTTTAGTCAACTTACCAATCTCATTTCCATGTGCCATGTCAGCAACATTAGCCTGGTCAACAACAGTCTTACTTCTGATTCAAATTTGAGTAATTAAATGAGTCAAACCTCATTTCCCAAGATTTTATTAAAAAATAAAAGATTTCCATGACTAACCAGTTTCATTTAAATTGAGCAGAAGTTGTTCCCTTGATGCAAGAGCACATATTCCTGCAGAAAATGCAGTTCTAACAGCCCATGAATGATATGGCGCACACACTTGTTGATAAGCTGATGAAGCTGCATCTTTTAGGGAGTAATCGCTGAATCATCACCACAAGAATATGCAATTAATAACACTAGAATTAATAAATACAGTCAGGTGTAATAAGTCATAAGAACATACTTGTTTTATAGAAAATTCTGGAATAATTCTCGAATTAGGTCAAGACCCTGTCTAACTCTGCGAAGATTATGAGTATGGCTACCACGTGACTTCACTGTCTTCCATTTTACATCATAATCAACTACACTGCTTAAACTCACATAGCGTTCTGATGCTTCTTCTAGATCACGCACCTGAAAACCAAATAGAGGATTTTGAATGAAGAGCACAGAAACGAAAGAACACGCATCACAAAATGGCTTTAATTTCAAAACAGGAAAATCGCCATTTCTTCCATCTATAATCAGATTCGAAATTTCCTCAAATGCATCCGCGATTGAAAAAAGAGAGGTTCGTGTTCCAGCGTCTTCAAATTCATCACCGCCGCTATAATCCATCCTCTTGGAGTTGCTCCTGAGATCACACAATTTGAGACAAGCAACAAAACGCAGTTTCCGAATCATCAATTGCAAAAACTAAACACAAATTGTAAGAGAAATCGCGTCTGCTCAGATCCAGATTTTCCTCAAAAGCATATGATATTGTCGGATAGATTTGGGAGGTTGATGAATGTAAGATTTGCAAGTGCTCTGAAAACAAGAACAATTCAAGAGCAGGGGATCACAGGGAGAAATTTGGGAATAACTTTGATCGTACAATGCAAATTTGAATCACGAGCTTAAAACAACAAATTTGGGGGAAATTCAAGAAGAAGTGATCATTTGATATCAGCAAAGAACCCTAGCTTTGATAGTACAATGCAAATTTGAGAAATGAGTTAGTGAAACTTTGGAATAACTTTTCAGTTAGCCGAGTTGGGTTGTCTGGATTAGATTTGGAAGTAATAGAAAAGAACCCAGTCGCATTCGTTTTCTCCGCCGTTGACGGTGGTTTGTGGAGACGATGATGTCATCGTGTACTGCGATGTGGCGTTCCGATCTTGAACCGACATCTTGAGATGGCGGAAGTGTTTGCTTAGGCACTTCGAACTTTTAAAGATTATGAGGTTCGATGCTGGTGGTGGCGGATTAGGGCTTGCACACACAGAGAGAGAGAGAGAGAGAGAGAGAGAGAGAGAGAGAGAGAGAGAGAGAGAGAGAGAGAGAGAGAGAGAGAGAGAGAGAGAGAGAGAGAGAGAGAGACGAACTGCTTAAAGGATTATTAGGGCTTTTTGGTAGAGGATTTTAGAAGAAGAAGAAGGAGATGCATCGGCGGGCTGTTTAATTTTTTGGTATTTCATTTCCCCCTAAGAGAACGCGCCTTCCTAAAGAAAAATATAAAGCGACAGTTTTAGACGACGCGCTTTTTTATGATAGGTGCCCTCCGTGTTTTTAATTTTTTTTGGTTGGACACCACTTTTAGGGCACGCACAAATGCGTGCCCTCTATCCTTCAAATTTTGCAAAACTGACATTATTTTTTAGGGCACGCACAAATGCGCGTCCTCTATCAGCGAGTGTCATTGTTTGCGCGTCATTAAAGGGCTGTTTTATAGTAGTGGTTTCTGATTTTCAAACAAATTTTCTATCCTTTTAAGTTCAAACAAAGTGTTGGAGTACGGGTAGGAGAACTTACCTCGACATCTGCTACGTTTTCCTGCAATGTTGCTTGCGCTATTTCCATCCATAATGATTTTGAAGTTTCTATAAATGGTTAAAACAATGATGATTAAAGTCAGAATCGGTGAGAAAACAAAAGGTAAAATTCAGGAATGGTTTGCATTGAATAATCCACATGGCTAAATTCAAAAACGAAAAGTCAATCGGTTAGCATAAAGCTATTCAAAAGAACACAAAAGTAATAGTGAAGTAATTGGTAAATGTAGCGATTGAAATCCGATATTCAAATTGAAATTGGTAAAAGCTGATTCGTAAATGAAATTAGAAACGCAAATGAAATTAGAAAAATCCGAGATCTTAAAATCCAAAAATGGTTAAACGGTAGTAGATGATAAACTCATAAAAGTCAAATTTTATTGAGAAAAAAGGAAGAATCAATGGAGAAAAAGGGAGAATATATACCTGAATAGCACGATGATTCTTGTGGTGATTGAGACAGAGAGAACAAAGAGGGCCATTCATGCAATCCAAGCAATACATATTGCATTCGGACTTGTTTGAATCTGCGTGCAGTTAAAAATAAGTGTAATTAATATGTGCATGATTTAAGTTACTGTTTTTTTTACCGAAGAATTTGTGTATTCTGTGTTGGAACAATGTCAAGGACTACATTTTATAAAATTAATTAAACTTTTATAATAAAAATTTATAATTATTAATCAATTATTTTAAATAAGTCATTTTAAATAAATTATTAATTAAGAGATATATCAAATTTTTAAAGTTATTATAACTTGAAATTTAACATATAATTTGAAAATGTAAATTTGCATTTTGAAATGAATTGCCTAATATATCCACATGACACATGACATAGTATTAATGAGTAGTTGTATTAGAATGACACTTGACAAAAGAAGATTAAAACTATTTATTTATTAAAATTAAAATAGGGATACGAAGATTAATTTCTCTAATTTGGAATGAAACACTCCAAATGTAATTCACTTTGTTAAATACATTTAAATGACATACCAAGCACGGATAATTTTTTTTGAGTTTTATAGCCATTATTTTAATTTGTTTATTTGTTTATTTTACTTTTTTTTTTTTAAACAGAACACTCATTAGCTATACATAAACAATGTGTACAGTGTAAAAAAAAGGTTATGAAATCTTACATCTCTCAGTATTTGCTCTAGATCTTCATGGTATTTTGCAAAGAACTTGTCATCATATTACCTCTCTTTTCCATCCATGGACTCCAATTTCTATCCGGAAAGAATGCATCAACGGAATCGTAAACAAACAAATCTTTAAAAAAAAGTTTGCATAATATTTAGTTCATACTACCAACCAAGTTTCTTTAGGCAACAATTCTTTAGTTTCAAAAACCCCATCCCTGTGATGAAAATTAAAATTAGAAGTATGATGCTATAATACATAAATAAATAAAAGTGTGCTGCTAGTTCTTGCATTTACCCTTTTATACATATAAGTCTCATATGAACTGAATCGGTGAAAATAATGAAGGGGTGGTCGGGTAGACTTTGCAATTGTTTGGGGGGGGGGGGGGGGGGGGGGGGGGGGGGGGGGTTAGTGTTTTTAATTTTTATTATTAGTTGATTAGTTTCATGTAATTATTATAATTAGTCTTGCATTACTATTAATTAGTTTATTGATAAGGATTCCAGTTTAGGGTTAGTTTAGGAAAGCTTGGGTAGTTGGGTATAAATAATCCATCAGGATTACTAACGAGGCAGAAACTGAGTTTAAAACCCTAGGAGAGCACCTATTTCTCACAATTTTCTTTTGTTTAGTGACTTAAATAAGAATGCAACCCAACATCTTTTGAAATAAAATTTAAGTTTTATGTATAACCAAGTAAAGGTAGAGAAGACGATCAGAACAATTTTAACTGTTACATTGGAACTATGGGATAAATTTTGAAGATACAAACTCATAAGACACAAATGCCATATAACTGCAAATTTAAAGCCTTGTAAATTATTGTTTCAAATTATGTAAATTGATGTGCTAAATATCATACATCTTAAGGAATTGGGATCATATCAGCGAGACAAAAAGAAAATAGATATCATATGACGTAGAATATAAGGCTAACCATATCATCAAGCTGCTCAATTAATCAAAGTGCGAGAAAAATACTCCAGAAAGAATCTCATAATTGTAACAAGTTTCTAGTAAAAATTTGACAGATAACAGGAATACATAGGGATGATGGTGATGGAAACAGTGAGCGGCGGTTGTAAGTGCATAATATAAGCTAAAGCGATGGGTGGACATCACTTGTTAGTGATAAGTAAGGTAATAAGTTAGAAGCATTTGAAACAGCTTTGCTTGGATTGTTGTCTACTAACTATGAACAAAGATTACAAGATTGGTAAATAAACATTTAAGCAGATTATAAGATTAGTTTACAGTAGTTTCACTTGGGCGTTTTATCAAACAGATGGTGATCTTTTAGAATAGAATTTGTTTTTTCACACGTTGCAGACTTTTGATCGATGGAACTACCCCAAACGACTTGCTTTAACTTAGCAGAGGGAGTCTTGAAGAGCGGGTGAAGTGAAGAAGTCGATAGAAAAAGGTGACGACTTCTAATCACCGATATTCATCTTCGTCGACGACCTCATGCAAAAAAATGAAGATAGAGAATGTTCGGCTGCTGTATTAGCTAGACGGATGAGTAGGTGACCATGGTAGCGTAAACTAACCCTTATGAACAGTACCTCGGTATATGTATGGAAAAAGTGAATATACCTTGAGGGTATACAAGATTAGGTACCCACTCATTAACTACGTAGTTTTGATTATTTGTTTATTCTTTTGAAAAAGAAAAAAAAACAATTTGTCTTTCGGTTACAATCGGCATTCCAAGATTCACCGAGAAAACAACCGTGGACAAGATTCTTCAACAAAAATTGGTGATATTTTTTAAATGGTAGAGAAAAATGGATAAAATCATGAGGGAAGACTTCGAAATGTAAAGTGAATGCAATTTCATCTTTTTAAGCAGATGAAATAGTTTTTTGACAAATCACTCCACTTTATTGAGATAAACATATGAAAAGAAATTGCGAACAAGAAAAAGTGAAAAATCTATTTGATAATTGGTAGGAAGTGTAATCATAAATGTAATTAATTAATATTTGAGAAATTGAGGTTCGGCAGTGAATAAGGACGTATTAAAAGGAAAGAAGTCTTTTTTTTTTTTTTTTGAAAAGTAAACAAATGAACAAAACTACGTAGGGGCTGTTTGGCAGGATCTGAATTTTTAAGAGGTCTGAATTTCTAAGATGGTCTGAATTTTTAAGATCTGAATTTTTAACATGTTGCTTGGTTGAAACCTCTGAATTATTGTGCTGAATGATAAAAATGACCATTTTACCCCTCTGCATCATTTCTTTCAATTACAACATTGTACTTCTAAAATTTTCCTTATTAAGACACTGTATTTGAAAATTATAACCAACTCTAGCATTCTAATATGGTTGAAATAAGTACAATGCTATAACAAAGCTAAATGGAGAAGTTTGAATTGGATACTTCAATAATACAAAGCTATTTTACATGTTTAATAGTGTAATAACCAATTATCCTACAATCAAATAAAATATGAATATAACCTAATACATTCATCTCTAGCATAAACACCATTCATTCCATCGATTCATCTACAAGTCTAGATAATTCGCATTCCAAAGTGACACCAACATCTTGACAATTAAAGTACACAAATGAAACACCCACATTCAAAACCTCTGCACAAAATAATTCATTCTATCACCATATGAAAAATAGATCTGCCAATTATGTGATTATGATCTGCAAATTATGTCATTTGACTATTTGAGACATATTTGATGCAAATTACTTGAAAGA